GAGGTGCTAAGTTCATTTCTATTTATTGAATTTTTCATATAGAATAAAGTAAATGCAGATTTTGGTGTGAATGTATAGGAGAAAGCATTTCAGCTATAATGCTAAAATGCTGATATACGTAAAACCTAGAATTCAGGAAAAAAGCCTGAGCTGGAGCCATCTACTGTGTGGAAGTTCGAATTATGGAGATAGAGATCCTGTGTTTAAAGAAGGAAAAATATTAGAGATTTTTAAAAACAGGATACTTAAATGAAGTCATCAGTCACTGCTTCTTCTTCCTTTTTTTTAATGGAGCCCCTTATGAGTTGTTAACCATACAAGGTGGAGCTGTTATTGGTCTGGTTATTCAAGATTTATGGTTGGAAGGGACTATATTTGTAAACATAAACAGCACTAGAGTTTATTCCAAATTATTTTTTCATACACATTAAATAGAAAAAGGTTCTCTAAAAGGTTTTGTTTTTTTTTTTAACTCAAGAAACTTTTGTTACACAAATTGGTATATTCTGAATTAACTGTAATATCCCACTTGTTAAATGCTTGAATAATAAATATTATAATTATTTATTGTGTTCCCAATGCAAAACTAGTTGTTGGGATACACCTCCACCTCACCTGTTCATCACACCTGAGAACTGCTCAGAAACCAGCATTGGAATTGATGGTTAGATGTCTGAAAATAACTGTTTCTGTGTTAAATGAGCCTTTGAAATGGTTTACAGTTTCATCTCCAGGTTGTACTCTTTGTGGCACTGAGAATTTAGCTTCTAGCTTATTGAAGGAATAAGTTATAAGCCAATCTGGCAGTTGAATAGAGGACAATATTATGGTTAGGATTTTCAGTAGTTTCCTTAGAAAACAGGATTGATGTTTCTATTATGACACAATGCTATAAATACAGGTATTTACTGCTGCCTGCTATGTTCTCGTTCCCTTATTCTTTGTCCATCTCTGCAGATTTTCTAGGGCTAGACATTCAATGGTGATCTGAGGGCCTGTAATTTTGAGAGTGATGGAGGGGCTCCCTCTCAGGGTGTAAACATTTCATTCACTTGTTTGTCAATAGACCAGCCTGGTGTAATTGCAGAGAGATCAATTTATGCCTTTCTCTTTTTGTGTGTGTGAAAACACCCAGCGTGCTTTGAAACCTACTTTAGGGAATGCCTTTACTAGGACAGTATCCAAAGGAGGGAACTGCTATACTTAGTTTTAGAAAAAAATAATGAAGAGTAATAGCCCACACAGACTTCTATTTTATATTATAAGGTATTTAGGAGTCAAATCTATTGGAAACACCAAGGATTACTATCATATGCACTTGGTGAGTTTTAAACTTTTTCCATGAATGTTATTTTGGTCATCTTATTTATTTTCACAACTTACTTATTTTTCTCAGTGTTTCCGATTTAAACACTGAACAGAAATTGGCTCATGTTTATCCTGAGAAATAAAAATTAAAGGAGACTCCAGGGAAGACAAGAGTTTCTAATCAGTTTCAGTTTTGGTGGGGATGGTGAGTGAGAAGCCCCAAGGAACAGATGATGACAGAACCAATCAAAACCTTTACTAGTTTAAACGATAGTCATGATCAAGGTATGTACATCCTGTCAGCATCTCTACTTAATTAAAAACAATAATAAACCGTAATGGATCCTAGGGTGGCAAAATTAGTGGCCTTGGTAGTGTCCATCCATACTATTTGCAAATATTCATTTTTTTTTCTTTTTACCAACTGTGTTGTTACCATCATAGTGCCAATATAAAATATACTGTATTCTTGCCCTGATTTTCTTCGTTTATTAATTAATCTGTTAAATGTGTATCTGTTTATATCTGGACTTTCTGCTTTATCTAAAGTGACCATATATCATTGTTTTAATTAGATTAAAGATTTTAGCTTGTCTTCTAATTTGTCATCTATTTTTCTCTCCTAAGCTTCAGTGAAGTGATGATATTTCTTTCATTAGGGTAAGCATCCTCAATATCAAAAGGTCATGGACAGAGCTGCAGATCATAAGATGGTGAAGATTAAAAATTAGGGACATATTAATTGTACGCAAATAACAGTTTGTTTCTATAATTGGAATGTTTTCCAGCTTTCTCTTTAAAAAACGTAAAAATTGTCTTTCGTTCTTTTCCCCTTACTCCTTTTCCTCATTTCTCTGTTTAGAATCAGAATGCCTGGAATGATGGAACAAATGAAACATATTAATTATCATGGGAAACTAAAAAGCAATGTTATTGATTAACTTTTTCAGTATTTATTGAACCCTTGTTATGTGCCAGGCACTGTACATGACACATATGCAGTACAGTGTTCTACAACAAATCTCAGAATCATTTTGCTTTTGGCAGTAAGTAGGGTAAACACCGTCTACAATAGTAACATTCCAAATATGCTGCTCGTCCTTAAATGAGGAGAAGGATTCTGGGGCAGGAGAATTCACTAGACTTACCTTAATTTATGAAGATAATATTTAAAAATACGTTGGAAGACATAATATCAATTTTTTTGGAAAAAAAATCTTCTTAAAATGAAAATCATAGAGAATGAAACACTGCAGACTTTGAACTGGATTGACATTGATGTGAAAGATGAAGCTTTGTGTCAATAAATCTACCTTATACCTCCCCACCCCCACACATACCTTATAAACTGGACATTTCTTAAAGATATTAAAACTAACTTGAAATTCAAATCCCTAAACATGATCATAAAAATCACCAACCATACTGTTTTTCTTTTTTTTTTTCTACCTTTAGCCCCTCACCCAGCCAAACTGTGCCACACCAAGCTTCTTTCCTACCCTGCTTCTCCACCATAGCCTTTGTCATTTTATCTTTCCCAGAGTCCCTGGAGCCTTCACTGTCTTCATGATTAGATCCCTCCATGCTCTCCATTACTAATGGCTTCATCAGAAATTCCCACTCAAGAGACCATGAACTGAGCAGATAAGTGCCAAGCATTGTAGCATGGTCTCAGGTATCAATTTTGACTCTGGGATTAAGGAACAAGATATCACTGTCCTAAAAGTAAACCAAGTTATAACTCTCAGGTTGTATGATCTGTTCTAGTCCACATCAGTCAATATTTGTTATAATTAATGTTAATTTGGTTTCAAAGGACAAAAAAATATATAAGCTAAAGTTATAAACAAGGGTCCCTTGAAGAATATGAGAAATGTCATAGGATACTTTGCAAGAAATACAACAATGCCTCATGTTACGTAGGCAGTCATTAGTCACTTTTCTCTCTTCTTTCCCTGCCTTCTGCCCCCTCTTGCCTTTTGTTTTGTTCTCTCTCAATCATTGTCTCATATTTTTGCTTCTCTCTTCATTTTTGCTGTATTTATTTCTGTGTACATTGGCTTTTTCTACAATAATTTTATTTTTTATTCTTTTCAATCTTAGCCGTCCATTAGCTGTGCTTTAGCATAGAAGATTCTAGTACTAAAACTAACATTCTAAAACCTAACATTCTAAGCTTATAATTTATTTATTTATTATTTTGAGATAGATTTTCTCTCTGTAATCCAGGCTGGAGTACAGTGGCACAATCGTAGCTCACTGCAGCCCTGAACTCCTAGGCTCAAGCAATCTTCCTGCCTCAGCCTCCCAAAGTGCATAGATTAAAGGCATTAGTCAGCAAGCCAATCCTAAATTTATAGTTTAGAGATAGAATATGGTCACCCTTGCCTAACTTCATCCTTGAGCTAAGAACCTGTGTTGTTGGGTCAGTGAATAGGGCAGTATCACAGAATAAAAGTCTGTTTTATAAGCCCCTCATGCTATAATTAATGTTAATTTGGATAAAATTTGTCAAAGGACAAATTTTGTCCTTTGAAACCGGACATACGTTAGTGTCTAGTTTCACTAAGGACTGCCTGGACTGCTAGTGGAGCCATTGAAGACAAGGGAATTTAGAGGAAAAATAGTCATAATTGTAGCAGCAGAGTCAGGTCAACTCTCTTCTGATTTCAGTCTATGCTCTTCCCACCGGGTTGAGCAACTGTCTGTGTTTTAATCATCTTTGTATTCCCACAACACTTTACAAAACACCTCCCCACCCCCACGCATACCTTATAAACTGGACATGCCTTAAAGATATTAAAACTAGAAACTGCAGATTCTAGCCGGGTGCGGTGGCGCATGCCTGTAATCCCAGCACTGTGGGAGGCCGAGGTCGGCAGATCACAAGGTCAAGAGATGGCGACTATCCTGGCCAACATGGTGAAACCCCATCTATACAAAAAATATAAAAATTAGCCGGGCGTAGTGGCATATGCCTGTAGTCTCAGGTACTCAGGAGGCTGAGGTAGGAGAATCACTTGAATTCGGGAGGTGGAGGTTGCAGTGAACCGAAAAAGAAAAGAAAAGAGAGAGAAAGAAAGAAAGAAAGGAAAGAAAGAAAAAAAAGAAGGAGGGAGGGAGGGAAGGAAGGAAGGAAGGAAGGGAGGGAGGGAGGAAGGGGAAGGAAGGGAAAGAAAGAAAGAAATAAAGAAAGAGAGAGAGAGAAAGAAAGAGCGAGAGCAAGAGCGCGAGAGAGAGAGAGGACAGAGAGAGAAAGGAAGGAAGGAAGGAAAAGGAGAAATTGCAGATGCTGATAATATGTTGGTTGATGTGATGACCTTGAAGTCAATCAAATTAACATTGGCAGATCTTTGGAATTTTCCAATCTTTCCATCTCAGAGTCAACTTTCAGTTGACTGTTAGCCAAGGTTTCCTTGAGCTAAATCCCTAGATGGTAGCAAGGGGGAGGAGTGACAGACACAAGGAAGGTGTTTAAAACGTTTGATTAGGTTTCATGAGCAGCCTCTTGAACTTGGAATACAGGAGAACCCAGAAATTAAAACTCATTCTGCATATGGTTCCTGGACATTCTTGTGCAGCTGCCAGAAAAAGAAAAAAATGATTTTAAAAAAACCCCACAAACAACAAGGCAGCAATTGTGACAGAATAGTCGAAGTCCAAATTACAGAGGTAAGCCTCTTCCTCTGTCTTCCCTCCAGGTCTAAATGAATAAAGAGATTTAAGGTTAGCTCTGCTTCAGAGCCACAGAGACATGAGCACCATCAAGTTTTAGGTTGGGTGAGGATCTTCAGAACTCCTCAGCTTTAGATAGCCAAGCACTGTTTCATCCCTTCTTCAACAGCATCTCTAGCATATACACTTTGCTTAAATCCACCTTTGCAGCGTTTGCTGATGGTAATTCAGGGACTAGAAAAGCACACTTTTAGAGATTTTATTTATTTCTATCTTTCCCTTGAAACTCAGGTCTTATTCTTTCCCCATTTCCCCTCTTTCACACTCTGGGGTGTCCCCAGAGAAGTTCACCAGTCAGGTCAGCACTGTAATATGGGCTGGCAGATGCTGCAGAGTTGTAAAAACCATCTAATTTTTTCCCTCCTTTACACCATTCCCTCTTCTATTTACTTATCACCTCAGATGTTTACAATCCAGTAAGAGGCCATATAAATTTATTAAACCTCCCGTTGTTTTTATTTTCCTTTAAAAGAGATGTTATTTTAAGTTTTTCTTTCAGTTTCCTCTGATTTTCAGAATAGTTCCTTGGGGCCCTCATTATTTGGATTTCCCACTGACTTAATCTTCTCTGGAGCAAGGAGCTTGGAATTTCTTTGACTTTAAGCCGCTGCATTAATCTTTTGCCCAGCCTTAAAGGGTTTAGGGTGGAGTCTTTTCCAAAGGAATTGCTGCCTGAGTTGCTACCATAGCAGCAAAGAAACCCTATCTGTTCTCCTCTTTGGAAAGCAGTCCTGCCCCCTGCCAGCAGCTCAGTTTTGCAGCCACAGCAGAGCAAGCCCTGTGTTTGCTGGGGGACATTTCCAGCAAGAGGGACAGCAGGGGAAATGATGCAGACTCCATCGAAGGGGAGAACTGCTCATCCATATCACCTAATTCCAGGAAGGGGCACAACAGAGCCCATGCCTTTGCCTCCTCTGGCCAACTCTAATCATAAATCTCCTGTGAATCAGCTGGGAAACATGCAGAGTAATTTCTTCCCTCATGTTTTTCTTAGGTTTTTTAAATGAGAATTTTAATTTCTACCCCACTGTTTTCTGATCTCCTCTTCGTTCTTTCCTGTTCACTTTCTGGTGCAGATATGAGATTGAGGCCCTCATTCATACTAACTGGAATTTTCCTTGGCAATTGTAGAACAGAAACTTCTCCATTCTTTAGAGATGAACTTGCCTTAGGTAAGATCTTCTCAGAGTACAAAAGAAATTTATTCTGGAAATTTCAAACAAATGTGAGTGTGTCTCTTTTGTAAACTGATAATTTCTACTTCAAAGGCAAAGTTTTGTTAGATTGATAATTAATTCTCCACAGTGCTCAGAAAAATGTCTTGAGTATATTATGCATTTGATGAATAATTATGGATACATGAATATAGACGTATCTATAGAGTGACCTAGTCAGTTTTTATGGATGACATCATATGTTTAGCCATAGAGAACTCCATTATGCTGTGTCTACACAACAAACAGCACTGCATTCATGTTGAATGCAAGTATGACTTCACCATTGAATATGTTTTGTCTGAATTGATCTTTTTAACTTACTCTTCTCTAATCATGATATCATCATGATTAGAATCCTCTCAGTTCATTCTCCTCTTTCATTTTCACCTTTTCCCTTTATTCTTGCTGTTTAATATGATTCTTCCACTGACAACATGGGCTCCCCTCTATGACTCTATCACTTGACAGATGGCCTCCTCACTGGAACTGGAACTGGATCCACCATCCCTTTTTCTCAGTGTCTTATTGTTTTTGTTTTAGATCTTTCACAAGGTGAGCTACATCTCTGAGAGGAGCTCCTGGAAATTACCATTGATACTTCTTATTGCCAGCTCTACAGATGGAAATGATGCACCTTGATGAGGAATGAGTACTGAGCCCAAGTCCTACAAATGGGCTCATACCAAAGACTTATGAATTAGATATCAAATTACAAAATACTAGTGTAGTTAATACCTGTTTAGATGATGTAAAGCAAGGTAATGGGAGTATGTATTAAAAGCAAAAATTCGCATGAAGCAGAACTGTTACCCTCTTCCAAAACCTCCCACTCTCAAGTTTTAAGAGGCAATAAACCTAAATGTACATTTATCTTTGCCTTTTTTCCCCAGGACTGCAAGGTCCTCTATCAAGGTTTACCATGTTTCATTGATCTTATTTTTCCTAGCACCAACATAATGGCTCATATAATAATGAGATTGAAATAATTTAATTTTTTCCTGCTCATTGTGTCATTGTGAATGTGCCGCTCTCATAGAAAAAAACACAATTTAAATTATTTAAAAATATTTGCTGAGCAAATATAAACCACTATGCATTTTTCTAGGCACCAGTGAGACAGCCAAGTATAGAGGGGTCCCCAAAGAACCCCTGACCAGCTTGTGCAGTAGGAGGAGTGCACACTGGGGTGGAGCCTCTGGAAGTTCAAGCTGTTTGCAGTAAGGAGGAGCCTGGCCTCTCCTGATCTGGGGTGGTAACCTGAGTTTCAATCTGTGAGGCAAGAAGCCTATTAAATGCAGGACTGTTTCTTTGCTTAGAGTCCCTGTTTCCTTTTTTTTTCCTTTACACTCAATAAACCCTGCCCTTCCCACCCTTCGGAGTATCTGCAAGCCTGATCTTTTGTGGTTGTGTGACAAGAACCCAGTTTTTAGCTGTACTAAGGAGAAAGTCTTACACCACCAGTATATAGTGATGAATAAAACAAACATAACCCCCATCTTCACTGAGTTTACATTTTAATAAAAGCTCCAATAAATTCTTTATTATTCTTGTAAAATCAAATCACTTGGACAACATACTGGCTTCCCTATATTGGTTAATCTAATTATTCAATATTATGGTATTCTACATAGTATATACTGAATATGGCCTTGTTTAATCACATTTGTGAATTTCAATCTGTTTTTATGAAGTTTCATATGTGATTACTCATTAGTGCTGAATATTTTTTTATAATATTTTTTGAACTGATCCCTTACTTTCTAGTTAAGGTATCCTCCTGACTTCCTTATTTCCTCCCTCTCAAATGTTTTCAATTGGTTTTACTTTTCCTTGGCCAACCTTATTTTTATCCAGTCTGCATACTCCTGTTACTACCATCTCAGTCCAAACGTTTTTGGTTTAGATAACAAAATCTTATTTCAAGTAAAATAAAAAGGAAAAAGATACAGTATAAGAATGCAAAGATAATAAAGTAACCAAAGGAAGAAATCAGGAGAAATATTTAGAAAAAACTTGGATTGGGGATTAGACAGATGGTAGGAACAATCCACTTTGTTTTTAAAGAAAACCATGATTTTTCATCTTTTCTTTCTCTGTGTATGCTTCATAATATCTTTTCTTTTTTTAAAAAAAGTCTTCTTTTGTGTTCTTTCTTTCTTTCTCCAGTTTACCTTCCCTCTCAAGAATATTCATTCTTTTTTTCAAGTGCTTATGGCTCAAACTAGAGCTCTAAGCACTGACTTTCCGTGGTATCAATTTAGTTGCTTAACCAACTGTTTAGAATGTTTCTAACTTCCATTTTCTTTTTTTTTTTTTCTTTAAGAATTGTTGAGATCTGACATCCAACATATGCCTGCCCATTTTAGATGAGGTATTCATTTCTCATATTTTGCTAAAAGTAAGGGGAAGAAGGAAATTGGGAAATGGTGCTGAAAGTCATATCTTATAAATACATTTTCCATGGCTCCACACTGTAGATGGGTGGAGGGAGGGGGTCAGTCCTCCCAGAGAAGGGATCCTGGATTGGGCAAACATTCCTATTAGTGTAAAGCCTTTGGAACTTCTATTCATAATTGTACTATTCACCTTCGTACTCCAGATTATCTTCCAACTATTGCTACCAGCCTTATGCAACCTTTTCTCCATGATTCTTAGTATCTTCTGCCCGATGGAATTTACTCACTTCCTCATAATTTTCTCATTCATTGCTACATGATTTATGCAGTCAGTCCTTTGAACTTCCTCTGTCATATATACTGCAAAGAACTAAAGCCCACACTCACCACAAAGTTCTGTTTTAATTAACCTCCCCTCTGAAAGGTTCCCAGATTCTTACCCAGACCTTATCATCATTTTGTTTTGTTTTAGGTTTTATTATTTTATAAAATTTGGCTCACTGAAAATTATATATTAATTAATTACAATTATTATGTTTGTAAATCAAGCTTGGTTATTTTGTAAATTTAAGTATTACCTCATACATCTGTTTGTAAGCTCCTTAAGGGCATTTCCTTCAAAAATATCACATAATACCAAGTATTTAAGGTAGTAAATAGGTAATAAAAGGATGTAAAAAATATTAAACACATTATATGCCAGATGATAGGGTAGACACTAAATTAGGAAAATAAGCTCAAGAAAACTTTCCCAGAATGTTTTGATCATTTGTGACCTTACCGAAGTTTAAAACCTTATCTTTTTAATTCAAAGTCTAAAGTCTAATGGTATCTATTAAACTATGTGGGAGGAATTTTACTTTAAGGAAACAAACTCTAGTTAAGTATTTTAGGCCAGGTGTGGCTGGCGTCTGTTATCCCAGCACTTTGGGTGGGCAGATCACCTGAGGTCAGGAGTTCGAGAACAGCCTGGCCAACATGGCAAACCCTGTTTCTATTAAACATATAAAAATGCTCATGTCTGTGGTCCCAGCTACTTGGGAGGCTGAGGCAGGAGAATTGCTTGAACTCCGGAGGTGGAGGTTGCAGTGAGTTGAGATCGTGCCACTACACTCCAGCTTGAGCCACAGAGCGAGACCCCATCTCAAAAAAAAAAAAAGAATTGTAGTCACTGGCTCATAATTTGAGTCAGTTAATGTTGCATTAGAAAGCTTCCTTATCCATTTATTATTACTCTTCTGTATCTATCTGGGTAACCTTGTGTTCGCCATTAATTTGGACACTATGTACGAGACACTACTAAGATAGCCTGTCTTTAACAACATTCTCTTTTTCAAATTCTACACATTTAGACTGTCAGGGCAATTAATCGAATAAATGTATTTATTACCTTCTGCCCCAAAACGTGAATCTGTCTTTGGGAGTTTGTAGCTTGCCTGAAAGATTATGAGACTTTCCCACCACAGCTTTATATGAATCCCTTGCAGAAGGAGAACATATATGCCCTGGGATTGGAGACAGCCCATTGTGCCTAGTGAAAAAGATACTGTGGGAGTTGGTCATTTTTTACATGGAAAATTTGAAAACATAACAGAAAGAAAAAGAACTCTTTAGAGACCTTTCTTTTTCATCATATTTTGATAAATGGAGATGGTATGTTTGATAGGTTCTAAGAAACTGTTCAGCTAATCAACAAGCATTGATAGTTAAAACCTCTTGCATAAGTTAACTTCTTAGCACATTAAAAAAAAAAAAAAAAAAAGGAAATATAAGCACCCAGTCCTCCAATCTCAATAAATAAAGGTATAAGTGAAATAGTGGCAAATATTCCATAACTAATAATTTTTTTGTTTTTGATTTAATATTGCATTTACCACACTGACTCAGTCCTATGGTGGTGTTTTCAACTTCATCACAAGGAGAAGTGCTGGACAAATCCCAGGCAGAGCATGTGCTAATTCAGGCCATGCAGAAAGCACTGGCTATATTAGGATTCATGTTGGGTATAAATTGTTTCATTCTATGACTTTTAGGAAATTAATCAGGAGTAAGAGTCAAGGGTCTGTTCCAGCAGGGGGCAAAAAGAGGTACAACTCTAATAGGCAGCACATCACCACATGGAGTTGGGTCTTACTCCCTGCTTATGAGTGAGGTTTTTTTTTCAACATAATGACATCATGTCCCACCCAGCATGGTAGACACCTATACTTCCTGAGAAGTGAAACAATTTGATTCCAGGTCTCACTGTAAACAATGAATTGTTACTCTCTTTTCAGGGGAAGGTTGGGCATAGCACATGGAGGCCAATACTTAGCAGTGGTAAGCTTGCTTCTTGGGCCTTAATAATACCTCATTTGAGCCTCATAACAGCACCACAGCATAGATGTGATTGCTCATGTTGGAGATGAGGAAACAGATGGTGAAAAGTTAAACAAAGTATCTGAGCAAAAGCAGTCAGAATATGTGAAGACAAGGATTTATTCAAATTCAGGTTTCTGTAGTTCAAACTGGTAAGTGTTGGTGTCTAAATGACAGTCACACATATGATGAGACAGCAGATCTTTACTGAGTCATATTCAGAAAGGCAGTGAAAAATTCTTGATACCAAGGATAAGAATCAGCCCTTCAAATATTGGGAACTTATTTGAAACTGACGAATCCTTAAAAGTCTTCTTACTATCTTCCCTTTTATTGAAACAAAACTCTGAAAATGTAGGCACTTAGCTAATTGTATCAATACCACTTACCTACCTTGTTTTAAGGTAAAATTAAAAGTTCATATATCCTCATTAGAATCACCTAATTGCTTAGTTATCTTTAATGCTTTTCCTCTTAATGGTGGGGATTTAGACGGCAGTTTAAAATATTTTATGTACTACACAGCATTTCTCATCAATTTTCTGTGGTAGACACAAAAATGTTTTATCCTGATATCCCTTTAGGGAAAGATTTGCTGTGAAGTTAACGTGTATCAGTGGATGGTGTTGAGGGTGGGGGAGTTTTATGATATAATTATGAGAATTAGGTATGCTTCTCCCTTCACTTTGGGGACTCTACCAAACCAATCATACTTCATGGAATAGGAAAATGATTTTAATGGAGAAGCAAAGAAGAATGAAAATTCAGGATATTTTGATTTTCAAAACTTGACATAATAACTTTAAGAGTATGATAAGACTTTGGGGAATTTTTTTTAAATCCAAGTATAAGATTAAATAAGGGATAAAGAATAATACTTACTAGAAGGCATTTTTTTGTTTGTTTTTTTTGGGGGGGGGGGAGGGGGATTTCCTATCAGGATGCCTCTGGCACAGAAGCCTAGATGAAACCTCTGCCTGACATGATACCATATGAAGAAAGTAGCATCAGCTACATAAGGAATCTTCTCAAAGTCCTAATCAGTCAGTCTGGTAATAGGAGAACAGCAGAATTTCTCCATATATCAAGACGAGAAGCAAGCTTCACAGCGTAT